AAATACTGCCCATGTGACAAGATGATGACCAGAGGTCCAGGAGCCAGAATTTCTCGGGTTTTTAATTGTATTTCATAATTGCAAAATTATATATATTAAACACATTGTTTTTTTGAAATACATATCTGTATGAAGTGGCTAAATTGACTTAATGACCTCACCTCCATCTCATTTTTTTTCATGATTGAAAATCTTTATAAAGCTGTTCCTTTTAATTTCAAGAAAACACTAGGTTGTCACTAATTCCAGTCACTGTGTTACAGGATAATTTCTTGAATTTATTGATCCTATCTGAGGTGTCACATCATTACTGATATCTGCATCCTCCTTCCTTCCTCTCCAGGGCCTGGTAACCATCATTCTCCTCTCTACTTCCAAGTGTCAATGCTCTGGTTTCTGTATGTCAATGTGATCATGCAACATGTCTTCCAGATGTGGCTCTTGTTTGTACTTGTCTATTGTCCCCCTCCTCCCCCAGGTTCATCTGTGTTGTCTCAATAGAATGTCCTTAGTTTCAAAGACAAAGGCAGGGAGGGTCACAAAAAATCTGGCAACAGCAAAGGTTCTGAACACCCAATTGTCAAAACAATTCAAGATGCTGAAGAGATATTCAGTGGTTAAGAGCTCTGGCTGCTCTTGCTGAGAAACTAGGTTTCATTCCCAACACTGAAGTGTTAGCTCACAACCCTCTAAAATTCCAGTTCCTGGGGATCTAATACCCTCATCTAGTTTCTTCCAGTACCAGGCACACATGTGGTACACAAAAATCCATGTAAGCAAAACATTCATACACATAAAAATAAAATAAATCTAACAGAAAAAGAATTCAAAATCAAGTAAATCTGAGGTGCTTCTCACAGCATTCATTCCTGTTGCATTGTGGGACTTTATAACAGGTAGCCTTAGTTCTGGACATGTAGCACTGAGCAGCCCTAGCTCCATGCATCACCAACATGGCCTGGAGCCCTTGGCTTTGGCTTGAGACTACTGTATGTCATGAATTGCAGTGCTTTCTGCTTTTATAGACACACGATGACTTAATGATGGAAACAAAGACTTCTAATATTTGCTTACCATCATTCCAGAGCAGGTATCAAACTGGTCTATCTTTAGGTTGTAACACATTAGACTGTTTGGTTTTTTAATTGCTGACACCAAGAGTCTTTGGAGATAGTACTTAAAGCTGAGCCCAAGTTTGGATCCTCAGAACCCACCAAGCATTGAGTGTCTGTGGCTATTGACCTGAAATTCTAGCACTCAAAGGTGGGAATGGGGTCTGGCCAACTGGGACCAAGCCATTGAACCAAGACTAAGTTCAATTGAGAGACCTGCCTCAGTGAATAACCTGAGGCTGGAGAGATGACTCAGTGTTTAAGAGCACACCACACTGCTCTTCTAGAGGACCCAAGTTCACATCCCAGCACCCATGTCTGGTGGTTCACAACCATCTGTAACTCCAGCTCCAGCATATCCAAGAGCCCTCTTTCAGGCTCTATAGGCATGAACACTCACCCCCACACACACTCTGGATCTCTCATATCCAGAGGGCTTTGATCTGCTGTTAGAAATAAACGAGGCAAGGTAAGTAAACATTTCTCTGTGGCAATCTGCAGCCTTGTCATACAGATAAAGTCTCTTTGGTTCAGGAATATTACAAACAGGCAATCTATGCTTGTAGGGGCTAGGGCAGTGTCTCCAATTTTGCCTGAACATTAACTAATTTCGATGTACATTTCAGGGTCCACTTGTGACAGTTCAGAGTGGAAGGTAGGACTCTGTACTCGTAGGAAGTTGACAAGCTAGTTTGATGCGGCTGTCCAGAATCTGAACCCTGAGAGGGACTGAGCTAGACTATTTTGTCTCCCAAGGGAAAACTATACATGCTTTTCATAGTGGAGAGTCTGAAAGACCATGAAGCTTTTTCAAAGTGTTGTTGGGTTTATAAGGACAAACTTTGGAATTCCTCATTCTCCAGTCCAAAGCCAAGACTGCACTGTTCCTTTGATTGGAGGATGCTCTTGTCTCTGGGGGTTACTTCCTGTTCCTGAAGCAGCTGGAAGGTCAAATGTACCAGTCAGGCTTTTCAAAGGCTGCATTCTTGGCATGTTTGGGGATGAACTCCCTGGGACAGGAACAAGGCTTTGCCTCATGAGCATAACCTTGGTCCATCCTGTCTCTGCAGATGCCTGGAAACAGCTGTGAACATCTGCTTGCCTCTGTGACCTGGGGAATCCTAAGATGAACCCATTGTGTCAGGCCAGAATCCAGCACATGACTCAAAGGCTATTGTGTCTGTACAAGAGATCTCCTTTGGGAGGTCAGGCTGTCCTAATCTGTTTTGGTGTCTGGCCTCAGTTTCCTTCTTAGAGAAAACAATTTGAACTCTTTATGGCTGAGTAATTAACATAAGCATTGCCCTACATTTACACATGTAATATACAAGCATGCTCCTTATATAAAATTATACATAATATATATTTCTATCTGCTCTCTTTGATTTTGTTTCTCTTTCTCGTTTGTAATGCCTGGCAGTTATCCATAATTTCTAGTTTCTGTCAAGATCATGACCCTCTTTTTCAGTACACCACCTTGACATGAGTGAAATACTTCCCACATTCAAATAGACAGAAGCCTGTGACAATCAGCATTAGAAGTCACAGTAAGATGCCGGGCAGAGGTGGTGCATGCCTTTAATCCCAGCACTCAGGAAGCAGAAACAGACAAAGCTCTTTGAGTTGGAGGCCAGCCTGATCTACAGAGCAAGATTCAAGACAGCCTCCAAAGCTACAGGGAAACTCTGTCTTGGAAACCCCTTCCTCCCCCCCCCCAAAAGTCACAGTAAGACAGTTTCACTTAGTGTAAATTTCATCTTGTGCCATATTCATGAGATATAAAGATATATCTGATTGACCAGAATGCATCCTGTTAACGTGGAGTTCAAAGAGACAGCCTTTTACTGTCTGAGCCCAGAGCAGTTGAAGCAATACTTGTGACAACCTAAATGTTGGAGGGGAAAGAAGGCAGGGGAAGAGCTTAAATGTCCTTGGAGTCCTTCGTGGGAACCATTGTGTTGTCAGAATTCAGAAATCCCTCAACAGCTGCTTGGGATTGCCCCAGAAGTTCACTTGTAAAGCTGAGCCCTTGCTGAGGTTCGTGCATGAATTTGGAATCAAAACAAGGATGTCCTGGTATAAGTGTGGCACACAGATGGAACCAGATACTCTGTATTTTTGAAAGAGCAGAACATATGCAAGGGCCCGTGAGACTATGAGCCCCGAGGAACACAAAGCCTTGCAGGGGCCTCACTGTCAGTACACAATATTGACACCCCCCTAGAGTCCAACAAAAATGGCACAGTCAAGAGGGATACATTATGACACACCATCAAAGGTATCTCTGAGCAGAAGAGGAATATCATCACCCCAGCTGGGTCAGGCTCCTGATGTGGGGGACAGCCTCTCCCAGCCTGGGAAGCATGTCACCCTTTGGTGTCAGGTCCATCAGTCTTACCTATGATTCATGTTTACATCAGACAGTTATTGGTAGTTGCAAATGAAATGTGGAGTGGTGTGTGTGTGTGTGTGTGTGTGTGTGTAAGACAGAGGCTCTGTGACATCTGTGACCACACGGTGTTTTCTCCAATTCCAGAGGACCCAGTGTTCTAGCCTCTGGACACCAGCCACATACATGATGAACATATACACATGGAGGCAGAACATTCATACACATAAAATTAAAAGAAATCTTTAAGAAAGAAAAACATAAGAAAGACTTACATATACTGTTCAAATTCACAAGTTCCATGTGCTTCCTGTGCAAAACTGTTTGCTTGAGCAACTCATTTTGTAGTCCAGGTGTGTGTAAGCGTGCATGTGTGCATGCTCACCCAGATTGGGCCAATCATACAGGTCAGTGGCTTAGGCCATCCATGTCAGGTGTCTCCTCCTTAAATAACTTTCTCAATGGGACAGAGAATGGAATCTGAATTCCCTCTACTACGGTGGATTTTTGTTTTTAAAGTTAATTTACTCTTTACATCTGCTGCTCACCTGTAAGTAACAAAGGATGAGCACAGTAAAGCTATAGGCAGTTTTGGAAGTGCTGGTGACAAGACTTGCAGCATGGCTTCCAGGGACGCCTATGAGGATTGAAAGCCCTGCAGAGCTTGCTGGGGGCAGGGTAGGGATGTGGAAAGGAAAACACATCAAAGTGGGCTGGACTCTCCATAATGAACACTTTTTGCAGCAGGTGCTGCTGCTGTGGTCTCCATAACAAGCACTGAGCTATTAAAACAAAAGTGAATGCAAATACAACTGGCTAAAAAGCAGCCCAAACCTGTCCTGGGACATAATTTGTTTTCGCTACCACAAAGCATTTGTTGATTTTTCTGTGTTCAAGTACTAGACAAAGGAAGGGAGCCAGTGGTGGTCGTGGTGGCTCATAGGAGGCAGAGACAGGTGGATCTCGAGACCAGCTTGGTCTACAGAGTGAGTTCCAGGACAGACTCAAAAGCTACACAGAGAAATAAATCTTGTCTCAAAAAAAAAAAAAAAAAAAAAAAAAAAGGGTACACATTCGATCTCTGGTCACCCCAAAGCTTGCCAAGAGATGCAGAAGAACACAGAACAGGAAGGAAAAACAACAACAACAACAAAAAAAAAACCAAAAAAAAAAAAAAATCAGAAATACAAATCAGTGAGATAGATATTTATGGTTCACTTGGGGACCAACAATGGCCAGTTGTCAGCTGTGTGGGAGTTTCAAAAATGAGAAACGAGAGTTGCTTACTCCCAAGGAGACCACCACCCCATCCAGAGGGAGTTAGTTAGGGCATAATCAGACAGACAGTCATCAGAATTCATCTTCACAGGGCCACTCTGAGATGCTGTTACCTTTTCTGTATTAAGAAGTGATCTCAGGGCCATTTCGTGGACGCCAGGGAATGGAGAGCATCTGCTAAAGCAGATCCTGAAGTGTGGGGGTGGGCCTGACGTAGTGTTGGGGTTTGAACCTCGGTGTTTGAACCCAGGATCTCGAAATGCATCGTGATTCCTGTCCACTAGATTGTAAGGTGTATGTAGGTAATCTTGGAAACAATGGGAAGACTGAACTAGAGCGGGCTTTTGGCTATTATGGACCACTTCGAAGTGCGTGGGTTGCTCGGAACCCTCCTGGCTTTGCTTTTGTTGAATTTGAGGATCCCCGAGATGCAGCTGATGCTGTCCGAGAGCTGGATGGAAGAACACTATGTGGCTGTTGTGTGAGAGTGGAACTGTCGAATGGTGAAAAAAGAAGTCGCAATCGTGGCCCGCCGCCCTCTTGGGGCCGTCGCCCTCGAGATGATTATCGAAGGAGGAGTCCTCCACCTCGGCGAAGATCTCCAAGAAGGAGAAGCTTCTCTCGAAGCCGGAGCAGGTCACTTTCTAGAGATAGGAGAAGAGAAAGGTCTCTGTCTCGGGAGAGAAACCACAAACCATCTCGGTCTTTCTCTAGGTCTCGTAGCCGATCTAGGTCAAATGAAAGGAAATAGAAGACCAGCTTGCTAAAGAAGTGGTGTACAGGAAATAACTTCATTTGACAGGAGTATGTACAGGAAATTCAAGTTTTGTTTGAGACTTCATAATCTTGGTGCATTTTTAAGATGTTTTAGCTGTTCAAATTTGCTTTGAACTTTAGTTTTTCATAGACTGAAATAAACCTAGATCCTGCCCAGTTAAAGTGCGATGTGCTAATGATACAGAAACCACTGATAGAAATGGAATAAAGCTCTAGTTTGTCTAGTAGCTGGGATATGGTGTGGAGCTGTGGGTAAAATGATTGGCAGTCTTTAAAAACTGTTAGTGAACACCAGCTAACAGGTAAAGGATGGGAACTGCACCCTGAAGGCTTTCAGAGGTTCCTTACTGATTGCTATATATGGACGCATAGCTGCAACATTCTTTATTTGGAAATGGAAGACTTTAAGTTACCAGTGTCCTATCAGTGTAAGGGTACATTGTAGAGCTGAACCTTTGAGTTACTGTGCAAGATTTCTTTTTCATGCTGTCATTTATAATATGTTTGTGAGAATCCTTGGGATTAAAGTTTTGGTTACAAATTGTTGTTTAACTTGAAAGCTTGTTTTTCCTTGCACACTCAAAATCTGTGAGCTTGGTATCAAGTCCAAGTATAACATTCCTATTGGAAGCCATACTTATATTTTCTTGTAAAGTGCTTTTGGATTAATAAAATACTAGCATAATTGTGTAGTTAAAAAAAAAAAAGTGATCTCAGACTGGGTGGTGGTGGTCCACATCTTTAATCCCAGCACTTGGGAGGCAGAGGAAGGCAGATTTCAGTAGTTCAAGGCCAGCCTAATCAAGAGAGCTAGTTCCAGGACTCTTACACAGAGAAACCCTGTCTTGAAAAACCAAACCAAACCAAAAATCAAACAAACAAACAAAAAATTCACCATTCACCATTCACCATTCAGAAAAACACTTAAGACTAAGTTTCTAGATTACCACGATGCAAAGGAGACAACAATGTGTTGTGAGGAAATGTTCTGAGCCTACATTTCATAAAAGAATTTGTGGGAGAAATGGGCTCCAGGCTTAGCTTTGGAGATGGGCTGATTGAAACAGTAGGAAGGAAAAGACAAGGCAACCCAGATTAAGGGAACTACCCAAGCCAAGCAACAAGGGTACATTACTGGTAGAAATGAGGCAACTCTGGAAGTGTTAAGTCAAGTCATTGAGAGCCTTGAGCTAGACAAAAGGTGAACTTCAGTTATAACCAGAGATGAAATGGGTCAAGCTAGCATCCATACATAGGAACATTCTCGCTGGGCTTCTTTCTAGCTGAGCTTCTTTTCAGTTGGAGCAGACTCTGAGCACCTCTGGAGACCAGAAAGCATGACAATAGCTAATGATCCTTTAAATTATGGAAGGTGAGAATGGAAATCAAAGGAAGCTTGGAGTTTCTGTCATGTCGAATGGATTCTGAGCTCAGAGGAAGCCATGCCCATGTGACTGGTAGTGGCTCCTATATACAGGAAAGAAAAGGACAAGTGAGAGAAGGTGACAGTGGCTCTGGTGGGATCTCTTCTTCATGTCTGCTGTGGTGGCAGGAAAGAACACTAAAGATAAATAACCTATAGCAAACAGAGATGCATTTGGCCCCCTCTACAAGCCAGAAAGTCCAAGGTTGCAGGACACATGTGGTATACATACAAGATACAGGCCTAACACCTGACCACATAAAAAAATAAATAAACTCTAAGCTAGGCATGGTGGCACACACCTTTAATCCCAGCACTCAAGAGGCAGACACAGGGGATCTCTGTGTATTCAGGGCCAGTCTGGTCTACAGAACAAGACCAGCTGGTTCTACATAGTGAGATCCTCTCTCAAAAGAAAATAAAATCTTACAAATAAGATTTGGCTTTCCATATGTCTTAGTTAGGGTTTCTATTGCTGTAGAGAGACACTGTGACCACAGCAATTCTTATAAAGGAAAACATTGAATTGGGATGGCTTACGGTTCAGAGATTTAGTTCATTATCATCATGGTGGGACATGGTGGCATGCAGGCAGACATGGGGCTAGAGAAGGAGCTGAGTGGACAAGGACCTATGTCTTGATCTGCAGGCAACAGGAAATGAACTGTGGAGACCTCAAAGGCTACCTCACAGTGACACCCTTCCTCCAACAAGGTCACACCTCCTAATAGTGCACTGCCTTTTGGGGAGTGATTTTCTTTCAAACCACCATACCATCCTAGGATATTTTTTCAGCCTTTGTCCAGCTCCACCTAGTCTTATAACTGCTTTTCCAGGTAAACACCCATATACAGTTTTTCCACTGATCTTTTTCTGCAGAACCTAGTCAATGCAGATGATACATTTCTTCCTGTAAAACTAGACTGCTTTGTCCATCCACTGACTTCTAGTGACCTCAGACAACCTGAAACCTCAACACGCTTTCAAGTGAGCATGGATAAAACACTCTGTATCTGTCTCAGCTCGTTGGAAAGAAGGGAAGACAAGGCCTTTCTCTAGGTTTGAGAAGGTGGCTGAAACACCTGTGATGGTTCCTGCTTCCTGGTAACCAGGGGCACAGAGCCCTTTGTCATGATCAGTTGGTACCTTCTTCATAGAATGGTCTCTCTGGTCCTTTGTGAGGTCTGGATATTTGTTCTGCAGTTTTAATTACTGGTGCATTCTGTGTAGTCATCCATCATCAGCTATTGGCAGGAAAAACTCCTACCATCCTAAAAGTTGCCTTGTAATTTTGTTCTGCATGTTGGTACCATGCAGAAACCTTTCAGCTTAGACATAGCCTCACTTGTCTTTGGCCCCAAATACAAAATGATGTCTTTGCTCACATAGGAGAAATTAATAACCCAGCTAGCCATAGTCACAATCATCAGATATGAAACTTGTTCAGGGGAGACTTGGACCCTTGAATATGACTTTCCTTTTCTCAAAGATGTTCAAGATATGCTCTTTCCTCACTCCTGATACAGTCCTCACCTTTCAAGGAGATGATATAATATTAAAAGCATTCATTATAGTCATTACCATGTTATCAGTGTGTCCCACGCAGCTTCACAGACACACAAGGAAGTACAAAGAAGGTTGACAAAGGAAGAGAGGACAGGCAGAGTCTAGGGAAAAAAAAAAAAAAAAAAGGATGTTTAACCAATTTCAAAGCCAAGCGATTTACTGAAGATCATTCCAGAATCTTTTTGTATCTCTAAGGGAACATGGGTTGTTGAAAACAAAGGAATTTCATAGCATTTGGGGATGGCAGGAGGAAAGAGCCACTAGCTAAGTGGTCCTAGATAGACCTAAGACTTAAATATTGAAGGCTCCTTTGCAAATGGCATGAATATATAATCTACTGCCAGACAAAAACATCAGCAAAAATATTCAAAGATACTGGGTATCAGTAGTGTTGACTAACATACTTGGATATTTGTTACTGAGATTTCGCTGTGGAGAATTCTTGGCAACTCTCCTTAACACATCATCTGCAAAGCCTACATTAAAACCTGTTTTCCTTTCTTTTGAGCATAATGTCGTCAGTAGTTATAATGGTCCTGAAAGGCAGACAGAAACCAGTATCTTAGATGCAAAGGTCAGGGAAGGGTTATTGCTTTGTTTGACTAAAGATTTTCATGAGGGCCACTTTCACTGCCACAGATCAGTGTAAAGTTAGCACGAAACTATGACAGAGTAAAAAAATGCCAAGATTAAATCTGGTGGTGGTGACACATGCCTTTAATCCCAGCACGAGGGAGGCAGAGTCAGGCAGATCTCTATAAGTTCAATGCCAGCCTGGTGTACAAATCGAGTTCCAGGACAGGCTCCAAAGCTACACAGAGAAACCCTGTCTCTAAAAAAAAAAAAAAAAAAAAAAAATCCCAAGATGATATTTCAAATAAGTCACTCGAGAATCTAAAAACTGTGATGTGAATAATGAAAATTTCTCAGTATGTCCCTCATCCCCAAGGAGATGGTAGGGGAGGTCACATGGTATCTGCTGACCCTAGCAATCTTGTTGTGAACTATTAATTTGGTGTTCATATTTCTAAAGCTATGTGATGTGAAGAGATCTAGGTTGTAAGAAAGTCTCTAAATCTATTGGAAGAAAAATAGCAATAAATGTGATAGTTAAGATACAGAGGAGTTATTGTGTGACAGGTACTGCACAAAGAACCCTGGAGACTTACTTTTGTTATTCATTGAACAAAACTTTATTTAAACAATCATCTCTACCATGTCCATATTATAGACACTGAACTTGAAGCTTACAGAAGTAGCCTAGGCTGGTAAGATGGCTGAGTGGGTTAAGATACTTGTTGCCAGGCCTGGCCATGTGAGTTTGGTACCCAGGACCGACCCACACGGAGGGGACAGTGGACTCCTGAAAGTTGTTCCTTCTCCACTCAAGGTCCCTGTTAATAAAGATGGTCAAAGTGATTGCACATGCTCACTCATAAAGTCTTCAGGGCCCTGTGAAAGCAGGCAGTGGTTGGGCATGGTCCCACGAGCAGCTCCAGATTCCCTGAACCTGGTGATTAGTCAGAAACCATTAGTAAATGAACTGAAATCCAGCCAAAGCCTGTTTTAACACACTCTTGGCTCCTTGGTGACAACTTCAGCTTCTCAGAAATCATGTTTAGATAGAATAGGCAGCGGGCCATCTTGACCTCTCAAAGTTGAAAGGCAAAATGTTGTACACCAGGGCTTGTATACCATAAACAAAAGGTAAGCATCATGGATGAGCTTATGGACCCTACTTTGAGAAGATCCTCCCACCCAGCTTGACTGCGGGGCTGAGCAGGCCCTTGCTTGGGTTGAAATGGCAAGAGACACTATTCTTTTGTATGAATCCTCCAATACATTAAAAAAATGAAGATCTCCCACAAATCAATGAAGACAAACACTGGTATATTTAAATGTTCACAGTTTTGCAAGCTGACATACCATGCCTTCACAGACACCATGCAAGATAATTATGCCTGTCACAAAATAACCACTGCACTTGGAGGCACAGCTGTATTCCTAGAGGATGGTTGGTCTATGGCCTGAGTCAGGAACACAATGACTGTAGGTGAATCAGCCTTTCCTGAAGGGTGGTCACTACCAAGTGACTGACAGACCCAGTTGGATTAACTCTTTCTTCTCCTTTTAAAAATGATGTATACTTGTGTATATGTGTGTGCGTAACGGAGATGGATGCATGAGGGGGTGACCAGAAGAGGGTATCACATTCCTTGGCGCTTGAGTTACAGCTGATTGTGAGCTGTCTGATATGGGTGCTGGGAACTGAACCTGGGTCCTCTTGCAGGAGCAGCAAGCCCTCTTAAGCACTAAGTCATCTCTCCAGCACCCTGGTTAGTTCTTAAGAGGGGCAAGGAACATGTCATGATCCCAGGTAGCAAGGGAAGCAGATTCTGGCTAGATGTCAACCCAGAGGAAATGTCTTTCTCTGTGGGCCTTAAAAGAGCCCTGAAATCCCCCAAGTTCACTTTAACATTCCTTCCTCAAGGGTGGGAAACTCAGGGCAAGGCCAGATACAAATCTCTCAGCAGGTCCTGTTTGCCTTTTGCAAATTTCAGCAGGCTCTTGGGGGTGGGGTGGGGTCAATATCCCCTTAATCCAGATAGCTTCCTGTCCCTGCTGACCAGGAAGGCACCTCAACACTCCATCAGGGCCATCTCCTTTCTTAACAGAGACCCAGGCTTTCTTTAAAA